GCCCCCCCCACTCTCCCCCCATTCTCTCTCTCCTTTCGCTGCCCCTCTCTCTCTCTCTCTCTCTCTCTCTCGCCCACTAAATTTATATTTAAAAATAGTGCGGTGCCGGGCAGCGGACGGGGACTGGAATATAATGGCAGCAGAACGATTTTGCATATTTTTTGGAGTTGTAACTATTCTCGGGGGTCTCGTACTTCGGGGTAAGTGACACACTTTTGGCACTTCCTTCGTTGACTGGCCGTCCGCCGCCGTGACTGTCACTAATAATCCTCTACTTGTCACGTAAATGTGGAGGAGCATCTCTACGTCTCCACGTCTGTGCCTTCAAACCCTGCCGTGCGTTTCACCTTCTTATTTTGGTGGTTGGATTTAAAGGAGAAATTTGATGGATTTGAAGTTGTAGGGAATACACACACTACTGCATGTACTACTCAACCATGGTTTCTACAGTTTCTTGGTTTTATTGACAGGGCTCATATCTCCCAGAAGCACCTGGGGCACGAAGTCACTCCGCTGTAGAAAACACTGAACCACAGCGTGGCACTGGAAATAGAGAAGTTTGACGGGTGCACAGATTTAGATGAAAGTTTCAGAGTTAAAGTTCGGAGCAGAACAGCGTCAGGTCTGGACAAACGACACCTGAGTCCAGATCTTTGGCCGCGGTCGGTGCAGGAGTTAAAAAAGAAATCGGTGACATGTCAGGACCATGTGAAGGATTCGCTCTGAAATGTAGACTCTGGATGCCGCGGCTGCGTCGTGTTTAAAATGCCATGGTCTCTGAAATGACTCATGGGTTTTAGGAAACAGCGGTGACGGCGGCGGCGGCGGCGGCGGTGATGAGCTTGGATCGGTGTCCATTTCAAAACACCGTTCTCTGTGCACACGCTCAGATCCTGGAAAGTGCTTTACGGTGTCAGAGGGATTTAAAGATTCATGTGACATGAGTGTTTAGTGAACTCCTGCGCTGAAGGTGTTCAACATGTGGCGTCCGCGTTCGTACAGACGCAGAGAGGTTCGATACCAGGTGTAATCTGTGGACGGTCCCCAGGGTTGGACACAGGCTTGGACACAGGCGGGTCTCCGTCAGGGGCTTGTTCACATATCTGTGACCCTCAGGGGTGCGTCCCTTCCTCGGGGTCACA